ATATATATACAGATCATAAAGTACAGTAAAAATGTATTATGCCATGGGACCTAATACGATAAAAGTTAAATGTCATCTACGACAGAGTTACGTTGAATTTCATTTACGATCAAAACAGATGTGATTAACGTTGATAATAAGCACACAGCTAGCTGGAAGCTACCATTTATAGCAATACAACGGCACATCAGAGCTTACACTTACCACCGTATTAGGATCAGCTGCCAGCCTTAAATGCAGGTATCTCCTGCGTCGACCAAAAAAGTGTCGAAGCTGCTTCAATTCGGACAAGACAACAAAAAAAACAAAGCACCGATTCTGGATCCATTTTCTTTTTCCTGCGAGCTGCAAACTAGGCGGAAGTACGTGGTCGGTCGCTGAACACATTTGCCGCACGTAAGACTGTGACTGTGTATAAATTTAGAAATTAAGCCATCAAAGTCATCAAGGTTTACTGACATTTATCCTTCAAAAATTTCAGTGGTGCCTGAGGTATAAATGGATTTATGGATTAAAGATAAATCTTTAATCAAGCGCTAATATTCTCCTACGTATTCTTTTTACAAAACTAACTAAAACTAACTGAAATTATAGATAGAATATCCTTAGTTTTAGTGTTTGTCTATGTGTTTTGAGCCATGTGGATCTTTTTATTTATTTATTTTTAATTGAGTAGTTTCACGTTAACTGTGGGCAGCTTACAGCACCTCATGGTCTGTAACAGCACTTGTTTATAAACAAGTGTTGTTGTGTTGTTTTTGTGTTGTGCTTGTTGTTGTTCTGCTGCTACTCAGCATCATCTGCCAAATGATGGCAACAAAAGTTGGGAGACAGCAGCAACGTCTACTTTGGGATTTCTTTGACTGACTGCGAGAAAAATAAAATCAAGTGTCTTGTAGTGGAATCAGGTGATAAAAGAGGTGGAATACTTCTCAAGGGAAAAACTGCATGAATCAAACTCACACAAGATGGCTAACTCTGACTATCTTGACACGCTAGCTTCTCTCAGTAGCTCCATGAAAAACAAGCAACAGGTAGCAACAGGTTGGAGACAACTATTGTCATCGTCCCAAAATAATCACCCAAGTTTTTAGTTGGCAAAATTGAGTTACACAATTATTTTAGGAAGGTGTTGCTATAATGGAGGCTTTAACTAGTGACCAAATAGC